ACATAGGGGCACCTGGGTGGCTCAGTGGGTTAAGCGTCCAACTTCGGTTCAGGTCATGATCTTGCAGTTCATGAGTTCAAGCCCCGCGTGGGGCTCTGTGCTGACAGCTCAGGGTGTAGAGCCTGCTTCGGATTCTGTGTCTCCCTCTCTGTCTGCCCCTGCCCGCTTTCTCTCTCTCTCAAAAATAAATAAACATTAAAAAAGAAACATAGGGGGGCGCCTGGGTGGCGCAGTCGGTTAAGCGTCCGACTTCAGCCAGGTCATGATCTCGCGGTCCGTGAGTTCGAGCCCTGCGTCAGGCTCTGGGCTGATGGCTCAGAGCCTGGAGCCTGTTTCCGATTCTGTGTCTCCCTCTCTCTCTGCCCCTCCCCCATTCATGCTCTGTCTCTCTCTGTCCCAAAAATAAATAAACGTTGAAAAAAAAAATTAAAAAAAAAAAAAAAAGAAACATAGGGTCTCGTTAGGAGACAGGAATCAAGCACTGAAAAAGTTATATTAAACTGTGCAGTGAAGAATAAAGGGGGAATAATACCAGAGATAACACAGGACTTTTAGAGAGACTGATCAACAAAGGAGAGTTATAAGGCAATAGACAGCATAGACTCCATTTTTATGTGGGGGAAATGGTATCAATCCTGTTGCAATGGATCCCTTATTCTTACTCGGCCTTATCAGTTCAACTCCAATTATGCATATAGGTGGCTACTGAAGAAGTAACATTTAACCCATTCTGTATCTGGGAGTCTTTCAGGCAGTTATTTAAATATTTTATAGTTATTTCCTCTAGCACGTATGATCCAGTATGTTGTCTGCGAATATTTGCTTTGAGGAAAAGAATTAATTTTCAAAATTTACGTGAAGATGCCCTTTAAGAGTCTCATCCCCACTCCTAACGCCACGATGCACCTCTAGAAGTTTCTTCTTAGAGGTGAGGTCTCGATAACTAATAAACATTAGTTTATGAGAATAAAGAATGGGAATTCAATCCAGTCAAAGTGGTGAAGGTTTGGTATCTTGTTATCTTTTCTGAGAAACATGGTTAATTTGATGTTTGAACTTTGGCAATACGAATCCCTTCAGTGGCATAAAAGAAGCCGGTCTTTAAAAGATGCAGACAGATGCTGAGAGAGTTTTTTACAGTGGGGCTGAGTTTCCTGTTCTGCTGCATATAATTAGGCATGCAGTTAGACCTTCACTCACTTTACTAGCCCAGGGGGAGGGAGGTGGGGCAGGGGCCCCAGACTTCAGCTTACTTAAAGGAAACACACTGTCTCTTTCTTTAACATCTAAGTGTGTCTCCATTTCTGTAAAGATAGAAGACTTTGTGTGTTCATTTTACAAAGTCTGCACAAAACTAAGCTTGTGGTAAGGAACACATCAGTTCTATTTATTTCAAGCAAGCATAATTTATCCATTTCATAAAGAACTTGGATGGTAAAGATGGTGAACATGCCTGATTTAAGGATCAGCATCTTTGGTGTCCTGACAACATCATTAGACACAGAATGCATTGCCTTGGCAGTCTGGCTGGTCTCCGTTTCCTTGATTTTCTGATTTTGCCTTTTTTTTTTTTTAATTCTTTTCTCTTCTGGGCTTAGTACTGTGGTATCTGCAATGCTTGCGTTGGGCGCCTGGGTGGCTCAGTTGGCTAAACATCTGACTTGATTTTGGCTCAGGACATCATCTCGTGGTGTGTGAGATTGAGCCCCACGTCGAACTCTGTGCTGACAGTGCAGGACGTACTTGGGATTCTCTCTCTCCCTCTCTCTCTCTCTCTCCAAAATAAATAAATAAAAACTTAAAAAAAATCTATAAACATTCAAAAAAAAATCAATAAATGAAATGCTTGCGTCGATAAACAACTGAAATGCCAATTTTCTAGGTCAAGGTAGCGTCTCTTTCTTTCAAACTCTTGGTTTTCTCTGCTATGTTTCTTTGAGAACTCGGTGTCTGGCTCACAAAATCGCTATACAATGCTCAGCCCCCTTCAACTTTTAAGTTAAAAGACCCAGTCTGTCTAAGAACAAAGCTAGGGTGCCTCAGGGGGACAGAGAGAGCACTCTCTGGGTCCCCATTGCTTTGCAAGCCCCATTCTAGAACTAAGTCCAAAAGGTTGGCTGTGTCACTCTACTGTCATCTCTTCAGCAGCAGGCAGAAAACATGGGAATCTAGGTTTCCCACGTGCTGGCCATAGATTCTCTATTAGAATTTCAACACCAGGACGCAGCAGGGAAATGTGAAGAAGGAGAAAGAGTACTTGAGTCCAAGGGGCCCAAATCAAAATAGGGCATCTCATTCGAGGAAAAGACAAGGTGAGCAAGGCAGAACCACACAGGGCACTGGGCTCTAACCAGGGGAACTCATAAGACCCAAACAAGGACAGAGCAAACTGGTTGAAATGCCTAGATGGAAAGGAACTTACCTACTGGCCTTGCTCTTTTCCAGATTTCTCGAGGAGGCAAGGTTTCTTGCCCACGACCAGAGTTGTCCAGAAGTGGAACCCATACCCACAACTCATGATTCCTGTGTGTTAGTCCAGTGGGTAACGCACTAAAGAGAGGACATGGGCAGGACAGGTAGCACAGTGCCATGGTGATAATGAGCACACCTGTGCCGGAGCCAATTCTGCTAGTGACACGTAGTGACTTCAGACGTAGGACCTAAGCTTTCCAAAGTTTTAATTTTGAAGCTATAAAAGGGTAACGGTAATATCTCCATGTAAGTGTGGCTAGTACATAAAAGGCATTTGAATATTAGGCCCTTTTTCTATACCTTCCTTCATCTTGTCAAGCTTAAGTTTGTCACACGATCCACATTGGCAAGATTGCCTCTCAACTCAGTCTCTAGGCCTCTGGTGCCCACCAGGATACAGAATGGTCCACAGTTGACCGCAGAAACACTGCTAGTAACTGTGAATAGCATACAGTACTCCCTCCTACTGGTAAGAACACATTTGACTTCCCAACTCAAATTTGACAGGCCTCTTATGGGCCATGCCAACACTTTGAAAATAAAACTCTTGAAGTTTCAACAGAAATATATTCTTACATGATAGGACGAAACCATCTGGAACTTACTGCTTACATGCATTCAAAGAGCTGTATCAACAATAGGGTTGTTATAAACTCAGGCTCCACACTGTCTCCTAAAGGGATTAGACAGGTCCCATAATGTGTTATAGACAGAAAAAGTGACCCAAGCAGGGGCTGAATCCTTAGCTGTCATTAGTATTTTCTCATGTCAACGCTGGGATTTGAGAAGACAGAAGGAATTGACTTACTTTATATACTTGTCTGATCCTTTAGTACTTAATGAAAACTAGAATGTTTTATTTCACCCCTATGGGAAAATAGCTAAACCCGGCAGTTTGTTCCTGAAATAAAATATCAGCAATCAAAATACTCTCAAGGTTCCTAAGAGACCAGAACATCATAGGCTGATTAGAAAGTAGGTGCCTCGAGCTTATAGGTGCTGTTAACATTGTTTTATTTCCTTTATACAAAAAGTAGAAATGACAGAAAAAACGCTCTTGACAGAAAACAGTACCACTGACCTGGTCTCACTGAGGAGCTGAGCCAAACTGCCCATTTTACTGGAAAAAGAATGTTCAATCAACATTAGCAAACACCCATGCAATGGATGAAATAAAAGATGGTACCGGTGGCTTGGTGGACGTTGTGTGGGCAGGTTGAACCAATCCACGCTCAAAACAACATAACATTTGCCCGATCATGCTTTTAAACAGCATCTCTTTAGAAACAAGTTATATATACAAATATCACCCCAAAATGTGTATTATAGAGTCTACTACTATAAATTTAAGGCATCCTGATATTGTTCTTCTGCTGGTGAGGCATTGTTCTCATGATTCTATTTCCATAGTGGATAGTCCAGAAACTTCCAAACGGTGTCCCAAGGGCAGCAATGAGAGATAATAAAAAAGTGATTTACAAGAAGAGTTCATTTGACTCTGGCTCAGCAATGTGCTTTATGCTGTAGGATTTCTTCATTTTTCTGTTGATGTCATTATGCCTAAGCAGAAGAGAAACCATAAAGGCCAGAATTAGATAAAATTGTGGTCAAGTTACAAGACAACACCACTAAACAGCTCACCAAAAATGGAAATTATCCTCATGCAAACCACACTGAAGAACACTTCATTCCAGTAGGCAAATTATTTTCTTTTCATATAAACCACTCTTTAAACAATAAAAGCTATAGTCATGTAATAACGCATATTTATTGAACACTTTTAATTCAGTTCTGGAAGTAATTTCTCAAGCATGCTGACTGGAATCCAGGCACAGTTCTAGTCCAGTGAATTTTTATCAGAGTCAAATAAGATAATAAGCATAGTAATACTGGTCGAGTGGAAACAAGAGCTGTTTCTAGCTGATTGACATGGATTCCCTGGTGATATCTTGAATCTCCAAAAAGCTTGAACCTTAATCATATAAAGAAGATGCTAAGGGGATGTGACTACTGAGTAGCAGCATGTTGGAAGACCCTAAGTAGGTAAGTCTAGGGGAAAAAGAAGAAACTAGGGAGCAGCAATGCTGTTTTCCCATCAATAACTGATACTTAGTGAGCCTATGGGAAGAAGGACAAGTCAAGCCCTGGAACAGTTCTGTTTCCTAAGTGAATTTCCCTCTAGGTAGATGCATTCATTTTCATGAGATATTACTCACACTCTAGGTACAAGAATCTTCCAGAGAAGAGTTCTCTCCTGAAGGTGGGTAGCCTACATATTAATAAATTCCCTCTTGTTGGTACATCAGACAAAAACAGTGTTCTGGGAATGCTACTTCCTAACATGAGGACATATGTGGATGAGAACCCGAGGTGGAGTTTTACGGCCTCAGAAATGTGCTCGCTTACAAAGACCATGTAGTCTACTCTCAGGGTTCTAGGAAATATTTGATCCTCATCACCATCTGAAAGTTCTAATTCTTACGTTATTTATTTGTCTGAATATAACTTTTTTTAAAGAAAGATTTTGTTTCTAAGTAAACTCTATACCCAACAGGGGGCTTGAACTTAAAACCCTGAGATCAAGGGTCACCTGCTCTACCGACTTAGCCAGCCAGGTGCCCCTAAACAGAACTTTGGAGCATTTCCAAAGACAAGAAAGGGAAGAAATGGAAAAAAAACCCTGGCTCATTAAAAGATGTCCGAGGGACTTCCAATTAAACACGGTGGATTAAATACACTCATTTGTCACCCCTTTCTTACAAAATAATGCTGAAAGGAAAGTAAAGAAATAAAAAGAAGGTACAAATCTCAACGAATGAGGGAAGTGAGCGAGGAGATGATAACAGACAAAATACCAACACTTTCAGAAACAGGAAGGTTGATGGACCTGTGGAATTGATTTAGTAGAGGAGAAGACGCAGAAATCTAAACTTTCAGTCAGGGAACCCAACAAATTGATTGGTGACAGTGGGTACTGAGTGGGTGCTGAGAGTGGGAGGTTGATTTGAAAAATTTGTGGAAATAATAGTTCATATCCCAGATTACCTCTCCAACCCAATGCGGCCAGGTGACTGTCCCTTTCCCAATGTGAAGGAAGACTGGAGGTTACAATTTGCAAGGCATGAACCAGAGAGACTCTGAATTCAGCTGAAGGGGGTGGAAACCATGAGATTAAATGAACATTTCCCTAAGTGAGAAAGTGAGAATAGAATTCTCAACCCGTCTCCTATTGGTCTGACTCATGGATTCTTGGCACTCAGGTTACTGACTCTACCAGGAGACTGTAGTTGCCTTAGCTTGATAAATCAACTGGCCAAGAGAAAAGACCTACAAATACTGCCACTTCAGGATTTTCACAAAAAAAGAGCCTAGTCCTTGCCAGTGTGTATATGAAGCAACATCTACCAGTCAGAGAGCCTCGCCCATAAAATCAGAGCTTCTATTCAGCTTTACTGTTTTGTTCTTTAATATAAATGAGTTAGGAATCATCAGACATTTGAGTAAAGTGCTACTATGGAAGACAGGGACCAAAATAAACAGAGAAATGGAAGTCAAAGTTAACAGAGATAACATAGGGAGACAATGAGAACTTTAAACATTTTTAACAAGAAAAGAAAAACCGAGAAAATGTTTGCAATTCATATTACAATGGGTTAGTCTTTCTAATACGTAAAATATAAAGAGCTGCTATAACTCAAAAGGAGATGACCAGAATGTCAATAAAATGAAGGGTTAAAAATAGTACATTCATACAATGAAATAATATGTGGCTATATAAAAGAATAAAGAAACTCTTTATACATGAATACATAAAGAACTTTAATGTGTCAGGTGAGAAAAAGGAAGAGACAAAACTGTGTTTATCGCTTGCCACCTTTTTTTACAAAAAGGAAGAAAAGACAAAAATATACATTTATATTTGATTGTACAATTTAAGTAAGTCTTGCATGTATAATGCTATAAAAAGGAAAAAAAGAGAAAACCAATAAGGTACTATTAGAAATTAACACTATTACAGCAAAAATAAAAAAAAAATTAGAAAGATTGGAAGGTACAGGTCAATAAATACCTTAGAAAGAACTAGAAAAAGCAAAAGTATGGGTAAAGATAAAAAGGATGGATAAAGATAAAGTATGGATAAAGATAAAGACCTGAGGGTTGACTCAGTGTGTCCAGCATTACAATAATGAGATTTCTAGAAAGAGTGAACAGAGAAATTACAATGTAGAAAACATTCAAAGACAGCATATAAAAACATTTCCCAGAATTGAAGCATATAGGTTTCAAAACTGAAAAAGCCTTCCAAGTGCCACAGGTCAGGAATGAAAATAGAATCATGACAAAGTAACAAGAAATCATAACACTGGGAAATAAAGAGGAAATCGTAATAACTTCCAAGGGATTAGCAATTAGAAATGGAGCTTCTCAACACACATTAGAAAAAAGAAGAAAAGGAACCAATGTGTTCAAGATTCTGTGGGAAAATAATTTCCTATCTAGAATTCTATACCCAGCCAAACACACCTAATCCAGTATGAGAGCAAATTGAAGATATTATCAGACAGGCAGAGTCTCAACAAATTTAGCATCCACCTCCCCAGGAAGAAGGAGATCTGTTTACCAAAACAAGAGCATACACCAAAAATGAGAAAGGACAGATTCAGGAAATAGGGCTCTAGACAGGAGAGAAGCAAAAGACATTCCCAGAATGATGTATATGGGAAACTCCGGGAAGGCAGCTGTATGGCACTGCCAGATAGCAGCAGCCCAGAGTAGGGCAGGAGGAAAGAGGTTGTCTCTATGAACAGACAAACTGAGAGACGCCTGATTTGTCTGAATGCACTGAAAGAAGATTTCTGTCTCCCGAAAAATGTTAAGAAATGAATTGGAAACTAAGAAGTCCAAATTATTTTCTCCTCAGAAAATGTAATGTTATAATTAGAAAGGGAATACGATATAGCATATTGCATGCATTCACTGTGAATTGTATTTAGATAGCCACAGTAATAATAAACACCAAATACTGATTTAATCTCAAAGATATATTTAATCCCAACTATATTAATGGTGGCAAGAGGATGTAGGTAGGGGTGTGTGTGTGTGTGTGTGTGTGTGTGTGTGTGTGTGTGTGTATGTGTGTGTGTGTTGGGTGGGGGGCAGTGTTGGGTGCTGAAATAGAGACAGACAAGTTTGGTTCATCATGGAGAATACTGAGTTTTGGAATCCTGGCTCCACAATTTATTATCCTTATTGTATAAACTTGGACAAGATACATAATCTCTCTGTGCCTTGGTTTCCAATCTGCAAAATCTGATAATACTAGTATCTACCATATTGTGTTGTTGTGAAGGTTACAACAGTCGTATAATGCTTTGTAACTGTTAGCTGTCATTTTTACCTTCTATAGTAGAATGCCAATATGTAACAGAGAGAATATCTAAAATTGAAAACCTGTAGGAGCATGTGATTTAGCCGTACAGGATACGAGAGAATACATCTGAAGGAAAGCCAAATGACTGATTCAGGAAAGTGGGAACAGGACACAGTAGGTTGGGCAGAGGACAGCTAGTTTTTGTTATAATGCTAGTAGGACTACTGTATGTACCTAGAGCAGTTCAACAAAAAATTAAATGAAAAATAAATAAAAGTGAAAAAGAAGGCTTAGGTTACAGTCTAAAGATAATATCATCATTTAGACATTAACAAAGTGTTTCTGCTTTAATATGAGGGGTGCGGTGGTCATAAAATACTAAAAAAGAACACTTTCCATGGGACAAAACCCAGCATGAACAGGGCTGACTCTAGAGCAAGTAAAATGTTAATCTGAGGCATTTATTTGAATAATATCAGGATAATTCAAGCCTCTCTGCATCCTTCAATTACCTAGTCCTGAATTACCAGTATTCAAAAGAACAAAAGTGTTTGGGTAATTCTGGCATGAATTATTCAGATAATTTGCTGTTCCTTGATTTCATTTTTGGATATGACATTGCATTCTCAGTGACCAAAATTGGAAAGAAGAAAGGCTTAAATTTAAGTAACAGTTTTTCAAGTAATCTAACTTGCTGATTCATCCAGGCCTGGATTCCATATTTCCATAGCCCATGGTGACCAGACAGCAATTTACTTAGAGGATTAGTCAAAAAAGGCCCACGGGCATGCATTACATTTTCACTGATCACCAAAACAGGGAGACTTTGTAACTTTTTGTGATCTCCTTCAGAACTTTACTGAGAGCAAATCTAAAAATCCCACCCACTAAAAGATGGGATTCTGGTTCAAAGAATGAAAACCTGCCCTTAAAACACCCACACTAAAACTCACTGTAGGTAGGTGGGTTGTAATCAAAAGGCCTAGGTTTTTATTTATTTATTTATTTTTTAACGTTTATTTATTTTTGAGACAGAGAGAGACACAGCATGAACAGGGGAGGGACAGAGAGAGAGGGAGACACAGAATCGGAAGCCGGCTCCAGGCTCTGAGCCATCAGCCCAGAGCCCGATGCGGGGCTCGAACTCACGGACCGTGAGATTGTGACCTGAGCTGAAGTCGGACGCTTA